AACACATTTTCATTCTGCAGGCTTTGGGCACGACAAATCAACAATTAAAAATAATGGGTTAAAGCTGAAAATACAACGGTCAAGTTAAAAAAATGGCAAAAAGAGACGTCTAAAATATAACCAACGTCGGGTTTTCAAAAGCGATGTGGAATGCCAGCACAAAAATGAAATAAAAACCGCCATCTGAAAAAGAAAACACGTCGGTTAATTCAAATTAATTTAAACACGGTTAATAAATATTAACAACAACGACGGTAAAGAAAATAATCAACGATGTACAATAAAGAATAACACGACGGAAGAGAGCTCAAACCGACGAATTTAAGGATACTATCGATTGATGATTACCATCGTAAAAACAATGTTGCACGTCAATTATAATAAAACAATTGATGTCTCGGAGAATACACACGTCAAAAAAGGTTATAAAAGAGACTTAACAAAGACTAGCCACGTCATGGAATAAACAAATAACCGACGTAGTAAGTTATATAACAACGTCGAATAATTGGATTCTTGGGACATAGTAAAGATCTAACCACGACCTTCATTTTACAATAACCGACGTTAAATCCATAATTCAAGGCGTTTCCTTACTTCTTAACGACGGTTAGGCTAAAAGCAATGACATCTCAGAGATTACACACGTCTAAGTGGCTCACAAAAGAGACTTTTAAAATGCAAACCACATCAAAGCCTATACAAACCAACGTTGTAAATAATTAATCACATCCCAAAATGTGACTCCTAGGCCATAGTAAATGGGTTAAACATGACAGATATTTTAATTAACCGACGTGCAATATTAAATACACGTCGTTTATTTCTCTGTTCAAGCCGTCAAAACCATTTTCAACGTCTGTGGTGACCTAAAGGGTCGTGGTTATTTAGTTTTTTACGTCGGTCCAAGTAAATATGTGCCATGTTAACGCTTTCAAACTCACTTTTTTTTTACAAAAGTGACGTCTAATTTACCATGTTATATGTTTTAGACGTCAGTTTTTTTATTTAGTGAACGTAGTATATGTTAACCACGACGGTTTCTACGTTTTACAAGTCGGTTTTCTTTCAATTAGAGACGTTGATAATCATTTTTACGTCCACTTTGTAGTTGTTCTTGACATTTAACATTATTTAAACGTCTGTGTTTTACTATAACCGTCGTCTAATATAGTCGAAGTTGTCTTTTTAAGCTATTATTAAGGAATTAGACGTCGGTTTTATTTTCTTTATGACGTGTAATATATTAACGACGTCGGTTATTTTCCGTAGTATATGTTAACCACGACCGTTTCTATGTTTTACACGTCGGTTTTGTTTCAATTAGAGACGTTGATAATCATTTTTACGTCCGCTTTGTAGTTTTTCTTGACATTTAACATTACTTAAACGTCTGTCTTTTACTAAAACCATCGTCTAATATAGTCGAAGTTGTCTTTTTAAGCTATTTATTTATGAATTACACGTCGGTTTTATTTATTTTGTGACGTGTAATATATTAACGACGTCGGTTATTTTCCGTCGTTATTTTATGTATGAAAAGACGGCAGTCGATTTCACGTCGGTTTTAAAACATGCTAGACGACGGTGGATTCCCGTCGTCTATTTCAATTTCTGTAGTAGTGAATGCGCTTTCAACATTGTCATGATGTTATCCACAACTTGAATATAAGTGTTATCAAATCCTAGTTTGTTGATATTAACAAAAAATGCCAATCCTATTCAAACCATGTAATTGTTTTGGCATGCTAGAAGGGATGGTTCCCACTTGATATTGAATCTAATTCTCAAATTGCTATGCAAATGCTATTTTCTGATTTGGAGGAGTGTCCCTTTTATTAATTTGGTGACTAACTGCCAGAAGATGCTTTCGCACAAAGATTGTTGTATTACTCATAAATATAGAGAAGGAAATTGCCTTACGAATAACTTGGCATGTTTGGGCTCAAAATTAGGATTGGGGTGTATAATTTGCGAGGGTGTGCCTGAAGGATTTGGACATCGTCTACTTGAAGATTTGAGTGGATTTGCTAGACTAGGAGTTTGATTATGTAGTTTTTGTTAATGAGATTCAGCTCCCTTAGAACCCTAAAAAAAAGCATGTTCAGAGTCCTGCAACACACCTAGTATCATCCATACTACTTCCAATAATTTAATTCATAAAAAAGAGTCATTCATCATATATATAAAAACAAAATGCTAGTCATACCACATTTATATACCACGTTATGTACAGAATGTCACATGAACTTATACCCTAGTTTCAATTTGTCATCTTAATGAAAATTTTAAGAGGAATGTCACCTTAATTTTTCAAAATCCATGATTTGTCATTTAACTTTACACCATCCAATTTTCCATCCATTTTTAAGGATATATATTTGAGTCTTTCCATTTTCAAGGAAAAAAAAAAAGAGAGAAAAAAGAGACCTCTCCCTCCCTTTCTCCCTAACCCCAACCCCACCC